ACCGAAGTGGTACCTATTTATCTACTTGCAATTTCTTGCTTTCGAACTGCTAGGTTGGCAGGACTTATGTATTATCGTCAAATGTTATTAATATAAAACTTTAATCTTTTAAAATTATGCCGTGATGGTACCTGTCCCCCTTTAAAGTTACACCACATTAAAGCGTCCAACCACCCTACTTGTTGGAAAGGGTGTGGGGAGGTCGGTACCTTCATTCACTGCTGGTGGGATTGTCCTATGGTAGCTTCGTTCTGGGATAATATTTTAATTCAAACTGGTTATAAGTCACCTCAAAGACCAGAGGTAATACTTCTAAAACTGCTGGGAAGACCGGGAGATCCCGATAGTTCAGAAGAATTTAATTGCAGTTTTGCTTGTGGAGGTGAAAGCTTCAATCGCCTCCCACTGGAAAAATAAAAACTCACCAAATATAGACCTTTGGTATAGGAAAATCTGGGGCTTTTTAGTTTATTTATTGCGATTATATCCCACCCTATCCCACAGTGGGCTCACGGCGGCTCACAGCATGATTAAAATACAATGAATATTTTATTTGTCTGGGTCAAAAGGGATTTTAAGAAGAAGAAGAAGAAGAAGAAGAAGAAGAAGAAGAAGAAGAAGAAGAAGAAGAAGAAGAAGAAGAAGAAGAAGAAGAAGAAGAAGAAGAAGAAGAAGAAGAAGAAGAAGAGGAGATTGGATTTATACCCCGCCCTTCACTACCCAAAGGTGTCTCAGAGCGGCTTACAAACTCCTTTCCCTTCCCCTCCCCACAACAGACACCCTGTGAGGTAGGTGGGGCTGAGAGAGCTCTTGACAGAGACTGCTCTTTTTCAAGAACAGCTGTGCCAGAGCTTGTGACTGACCCAAGGTGACATCAGCAGGTCCAAGTGGAGGAGTGGGGAATCAAACCCGGTTCTCCCAGATTAGAGTCCGCACTCTTAACCACTACACCAAGCTTTGTATCAGAGAAAAAACAACTTTGTTGGGGTACAAAGAATCCTTGGCCAATATTATTCAGGTTAGGTGAAGTAAGCACTTGAAGATATTGTGTAGACACACCTTTCTTTACATGTGACCAATAAGTGGACAATTACTCAAACGATGCATTGTCTTGATTAACCAAATATGCTTTTTGAATGTTATCTTCATGACTATGTCATTTCAAGTATAAAATCTCATGTACTTCCTGATGGTGTTCAGAAAGCAGTCCATTTTTGATAGGCTGGTTTGGCCTAACCGTTTTCAGGTGTCTTGATTGCAATTAAAACACTAAGACCTTCCTCCTCCTTTTGACTTCATTTTTTTTGACTGGGAATCTATTTGTATAACAATCGCTCACATCTTCATGCAATCAGAACCAAAGCTGTTGCATTAAATATGTTTGAAACAATCTATGCGTGTGCAAGTTTGTGTTCTCACCCTTTTGTATTTCAAAAACAGAAATATTGCTGTTTACATAAATGTTTTATACAAGCAGGGCCTTCTGGGGGGGGGGGGGAGGTGCCGGAAGTCTCAAGAGGGAAATTAAGTTTTCAATCTGTATACTGAAAATTCACGAACTTTTAAAACATTTTAAAAATAATTCTCTCAAAGAGATTCCGGAACTCTGTTCCGGTGTGTTTCCCCAGAAAAGAGCCCTGTATACAAGCCATATTGTGTGTATGGGAGGGGGGGGGGGGGGAGGGCGAGGATAACTATGCATATATAGCTTCTAAGCATTTTATTTCCTTATGAATCATTTCAACTCAAAATACCAGTTTAAAAAAAACCTCTCCATAAATCATGACAAGCTTGTGCTAAGCCTGTATTTACATTGGCAGGACTATAATTAGAGGTAAGGTGCGAAGCCACCTTAACAGCTGCTAGTAAAATTCAAGTCCACCGAACAATCCGAACCACTCAACCCTGGCCAGGAGAAAATACTTACCCCTCAGTGCCTTTGCTACTACTTCCATCCTTTAAGTACATAGAAAAATCAATAACGCCGACCTACGAGAGAAGATCGTAAGGCTTCATGTCAAAAACAATCTCGATTAGTTTCGAATGCAGCCTTAGAGAAAAGCAACAAATCAAACAGAGGAGCCAAGCGCTCAGGTATTCCTATTTAGTTCCTCCTCCAGCAGCTTAAACCACCCCCCCATGGCTTTTTAGACACAACGAATTTTGTTATTTTGGCAGAAAGAGCTGTTAAAAAGAAAACAGATGGGAAAACTCTGGGGCGCGCACACTGCTAGTTGCGAGTGTGTTATCTGTCTTCCTGGATCATAGCCACAGCACTTTAAGACATCGGTGCATTTTGGCTTACGGAGAGAACAAAACCCAGCTACCCAGCAAAGATGGGAACTACATTTGCATCTCATTGAAACCTTTTCTTAAATTTCCCATTAAAGAGAGTGTCTTGGCAATAAGGCAGGGCAGCAGCCCCCAGCGAACACATTTATACTAGACTACGTAATGTAAATTAATTCCACCTGGTTCACCCACTGACAGAGCTACTCATCTTCCAGATCCCACATGCAGAATCCAGGAGCTGGCAAACAACCTACGCTCCCGAGAATCTCTGCTAGCTTTCTTAAATATGCAGGTTTCTAAATCTCATGATTTGGAAGACATCTACAATGTGTTGATCCCTCATTGTACGTCCCTAACCACGGATTCTTCTCTCTGCCATTCACCCCAAACTTCAAGAACAAAGACTTTTACGTTTGTTTTTAAAAGAGCAAATCTGCATAATTACACGTGTACAGAAAAGATTATTTCCCCTGCTTACAAGGGGAGGGGGGGTCACATGCAATGCTCCCTCTAAGCTGTGGAGTCTTGTGAGCAAAAATTCTACTTTGTGAGCTACTTGACGTTAAGGTTGGGAGCGAGCGATTTGGCTGCTGCGTAAAGGAGTCTGCTCTGGAACCATCCTTCCTGAGCGAAGACAAAAATGTGTGAGCCGGAGGCTAAAAAACTGTGAGCTAGCTCAAACTAACTCAGCTTAGAGGGAACACTGGTCACATGCACACACTCACTTAAGCACAAACAATGGACAGTGGTTTCCCTGCAACACACTGGTGACTCATCTGTTTCTGGGAAGAATTCAGAGTGCTAGTGCTTACATTCAAGGGCAAAAACATCTTGGGGATGGAGTATCTGAAGGATTATCTCCTTCCATACTGTCCCGACTGCCAGTTAAGATCTGACTCCCAAGCTCTGTGGACCTGCCTGCAGGGGTGAACTGGGTGCAACTAGAGACAGGGCATTTTCTGTGGGGGCACCCTGACTCTGGAACGCCCTCCTCCCAGCACCTACCACCAGTGTTCCCTCTAAGCTGAGTTAAGGTGAGCTAGCTCACAGTTTCTTTGCCTCCAGCTCACACATTTTTGTCTATGCTCAGGAAGGATGGCTCCAGAGCAAATTAATTTATGCAGTAGCCAAATTGCTCGCTCGCAACTTTAATGCCAGTAGTTCACAAAGTAGAATTTTTGCTCACAAGACTACACAGCTTAGAGGGAGCATTGCCTACCAGGCCAAAACATTTCTTTTTTACCACGACTTTTCATAGCCTGCTTCTAGTCTGAAGTCTGTTGTACGATATTTTAGAGTGCTCAGTGGTTCCTTTATGCTGTTCCTATCCCCCTGGCTTGTTTTTAATATCTCATCTTGTTTTTACATTGGTAAGTTATCATTTTTAATAATTTTATGGTATTGTTTTTACATGTAAGCTGGCTCCAGCAGGACCCTGGAGAGGTGGCATACAAATTCACACACACACCAAATAAACTGTGACCAGGTCAAGGACCATATTTTTTTCCCTTTTCCTGCTTTCACCTTTGAAGTGGAACGTGATGGGTACTGAAGTTTACTTTTGCAGATTTCCATAAATGCTGTGAGTACAAAAGCACACTAGAAAGAGTACTTTCTCATTGTTTAAATGAGTGAAAAAAGCATAACATTAGGGGAGTAGAGAGTATGCATAGCCCAATAGGAGAAGCTGTTCAGGAAAAGGGGGCTGCCAACCTCCAGGTTAGGGCTGCCAAATCCCCCCGGGGGGCGGATTTCCCCCCCGCTTTGGAGGCCCGATTTCCGCCGCCGCGGAATCAGGCCCCGGGGGAAACCCCACCCCGGCATCACGTCAGCCAGATGTGACGTGATGACGCCGGGCACGCTGGGGGAGGGGCCACAGCCATTTGAGGGGAAAACTCTATGTTTTCCCCTCAAATGGCTGTGGCCCCGCCCCCAGCGTGCCCGGCGTCATCACGTCACATCCGGCTGACATGCATGCGGCGCGCGCGCTGAGGACGCTGAACGGGAGCCCCCCGCCGAGACTCCAGGTCAACTTGGAATTCTCCAAGAATCACAAAACCAGATTGCGTTAAGTATCAAGAAAATACAAATCGAAGCCGCAAGTATCCTTCCAGAAATTCTGACTTCCTTAAGTCAATGAAAACTAAACCTTTCCTAATCTGTTAAAAAAAAAAACCCGTATTCAACATTCAGCAAAATAAAACCAGATCTTACGCAACCGTTCCAAGCGAGCCAAAAAGCAAACAATGACAAACATTCCCAATTAGCTTTATTTTAAAACTGATTTTTTTAGAAACCAATACAAGTCCCCCCAATTAAACACTGATCAAATATCCAGCACCTGAGAGTCCAAGTCTTCACCCTTCATACAGAAATTGGCATCAATGACGTTCAGGCCTACTAAGAGGCCAGCAATTACGACACCCTCCTCCTCCATCATGAGCGCGTTCGGTTCATAAAATTCACTGCAAGACAAAATGAGACCAGGCTTGCTAAATCGCTTCGTCTTTTAAACCCAGACGATATAAGAGGGCAATAACTTATCACTCAGAGCAGACAAAGATACGTTTGATTCCACACCGTCCTCTTGGCCGCAACTTTACACACGTCACTCTGGTGGCAGGAAAATCCACCTTGAGTCTTTGTGAGAAAGGAAAACAGTCGGTGAAGTAAGAATAATGAAACCCCTTACATATAGATTCTTGGTTTCAACGCCTAGGGCATAGCTCTCACTGGTTTTCATGAAGCTGTAATTCCCCAGCAGCTGCTTTTAAATGCCGAAGTTTAAAAAGCACCTTGCTACGTGGCACAGAGTAAAGGTAAAGGTAAAGGTTCCCTTGCTCGAAAGCCAGTCGAGTCCGACTCTAGGGTTGCGGTGCTCATCTCCGTTTCAAAGCTGAAGAGCCAGCGCTGTCCGAAGACGTTTCCGTGGTCATGTGGCCGGCATGACTAAACGCCAAGGCGCACGGAACGCTGTCACCTTCCCACCGAAGCGGTACCTGTTTATCTACTTGCAATTTCTTGCTTTCGAACTGCTAGGTTGGCAGGAGCTGGAACTAGAGACGGGAGCTCACTCCGTCATGCGGCACACTCGGGTCTCGAACTGCTGAACGACCGACCTTCCACAGCCTGCAGTTCAGCGTCTTAACCACTTGAGCCACCACAGAGTGGCCACTTGGTAAAACCAGTTTCAGAGGGTAGCCATGTTGGTCTGCAGTAGAAACGTTCAGAGACCAACGGATAACCACTTGCTGGTGAACCCAGCTCTAGGGAAGTCCGGCTGTCCTCGACGAGGGCCGGGGCCTTTTTGGTCCTGGCCCCGACCTGGTGGAACTCTCTGCTGAATAACATCAGGAGGATGCCCCTGTATAAATCGATGGTGCGTCCTCATTTGGAGTACTGTGTCCAGTTCTGGTCACCACACCTCAAAAAGAATATTATAGCATTGGAAAAAGTGCAGAAAAGGGCAACTCGAATAATCAAAGGGTTGGAACACCTTCCCTTTAGCTTGAAGAAATGACGGTAGAGGGGTGACATGATCAAGGTGTACAAGATTATGCATGGGATAGAGCAGGTAGAGAAAGAAGTGCTTCTTTCCCTTTCTCACAAGACAAGAATTCGTGGGCACTCCATGAAATTGCTGAGTGGTCGGGTTAGAACGGATCAAAGGAAGTCCTTCTTCACCCAAAGAGTGATTAACACTCTTCTAAGGGCTTCTAATGTCCTGGCCCCACTGGTGGACCTCCTGATGGCACCTGGTATTTCTGGCCACTGTGTGATACAGAGTGTTGGACTGGATGGGCCTTTGGCCTGATCCAACATTGGCATCTCTTATGTTCTTATGTTCTTAACACCTGGAACTCACAGTCACAGGAGGTGGCGGCGGCTACAAGCATGGACGGCTTCAAGAGGGAACTGGATAAACATCTGGAGCAGAGGTCCACTGGCTATTAGCCACAAGGTACAGATAGGAACTCTCAGGCTGGGGCAAGTGGTGCTCTGTATTCTTGGTGCTTGGGGCGGGCAACAGTGGGAGGGCTTCTAGTGTCCTGGCCCCATTGGTGGACCTCCTGATGGCCCCTGGTATTTTTGGCCAATGTGTGACACAGAGTGTAGGACTGGATGGGCCATTGGCCTGATCCAACATTGGCTTCTCTTATGTTCTTATGAGGACCCTGTGGGATCTGATGCAATTCTGCAGAGCCTGTAAGGCAGAGATGTCCCACCAGGCTTTTGGTTGAGGGCAGCAACGGCTGGTTGCATTGGCTGGCACCGTTCTCCTCCCCCCCCCCCCCCGGATATTTCATTTTAAGTTCCCTCTCCTCCCTTCCCATTAAATGGCCTGGCAGTCAAGATTTGGAACGGAAGTCTGTAAGTCGCCACCTTGAATCTTTTTACTCTCGTTTTAGTTCCTATCAAACTGCATACGGAAATTTTAAAATTTGTATCTTTGTTTTATGGCACTATGCCCCTTGCACATGACCCAAGCTCGGTGTAAGCTGGCATTAACAAATCAAATTAACAACAGTAGTAACAAGAATAATAACAATAATAATATAAGTTTTTGAAAGTCAACGCTCCCTTCGTCAGACAACCACCTCTCCACAGTGCTCTCTTGAATTAAGGGCATTATTAAACAATTCATGCAAACAGAAGTTAAAAAAAAATATTTTGAAACATTTGGCACCAGTGAGAGCAAGAAACTATCCTTTCATCACTGAAATAATTAAGAAAAGGGAAGGCAGTCACCACAGGCCATTTTTAAAATTTTAAACGTTTCAGTAACTTTTTGATGTGTTTTGTTAAATATAAGATAGCTCACTTGCCCTGAGTCACCAGAGGATGCAAGATAAATATAAAATGCAGAGAGGCCAATACCCACCCTGGCCTCTCTAATACCATGAGTGTATTCGAAGTCAGAGAGAGAACGAATCCACATGTACAATGACGTGGCAAGGGGAACTACAGAAGAACTTCTCCTTCCACCAGTTGCCTGTGCTTTTTTGGAAGCCCTCTCATTTTTTGAATTCAAACCCTTTTTGGTCTTTTTAAAAAGAGCATAAGAGAAGCCATGCTGGATCAGGCCAATGGCCCATCCAGTCCAACACTCTGTGTCACACAGTGGCCAAAACCCAGGTGCCATCAGGAGGTCCACCAGCGGGGCCAGAACTCCAGAAGCCCTCCCACTGTCCCTCCCCCCCAAGCACCAAGATTACAGAGCATCACTGCCCCAGATATAAGAACATAAGGGAAGCCATGTTGGATCAGGCCAATGGCCCATCCAGTCCAACACTCTGTGTCACACAGTGGCCAAAACCCAGGTGCCATCAGGAGGTCCACCAGTGGGGCCAGAACTCCTCCCGCCGTTGCCCACCCAAGCACCAAGATTACAGAGCATCACTGCCCCAGATATAAGAACATAAGGGAAGCCATGTTGGATCAGGCCAATGGCCCATCCAGTATAACACTCTGTGTCACACAGCGGCCAAAACCCAGGTGCCACCAGGAGGTCCACCAGCGGGGCCAGAACTCCAGAAGCCCTCCCACTGTGGCCCCCCAAGCACCAAGAACACACTCTGCTGCTTCATTAATTTGAGGATGCTATATTTCTCCTAGATTCATAAGAATTAGCGGTTCACTTTCAATTACTCAGCCTCCTTACCACTCTGTACTGATATCTTCCCCACAACAAGCTCCGTGCATGAAAATGCATGTATAGGGGCACACTTGAAAAGCAGCAGGAAGCTCGTTTTCCCGCAAGCTTGTATGAAGGACCATCACCCTTGCGTGCCAGGTGCCCAATATGCAACACCACAAAACTGCCCAAGGAGAAAACCAACGTAACATGTGAAGAATGCCCATTTATTGAAATCGGAATCAAGAGAGGACACAGCCGCTCACCTGAGAAGTTCCCTTCTGTTGACCAGGGCCTTCATATACTCTGAAAGTTTCTTCTGCATTAGTGCTAGTCGGAGCCAGGCTCTCCCCCTGCCCACAGGGGTCCTATTGAGTTCCAGAAACAAAAGATAGAGGAGCCGTTATCACACGGGACTTTGCTCCAGATTCTGAACACAAAATGGTGCAAGTGTATCACTCCTCGAGACACAGCACTTCCCAGAAACGGTGAATCCATGGGCGAAAAAGAATCCCTCCTCCCACTACAGTGTTCTCTGAAGAACCGTAAGTTTTTTTGGGAAATGAATATACACATTATTAACTCTTATTCATTTCTTTTATGCAGTGCTTTCCTCCCCAAAGCAGATTTACATCATTCTCCTCTTCTCCTAGCAGAACAGTGATTTGAACCAGAGATCCACCCTGGTATCTATGGAACCACCAGATATGTCTTTCAGAAAGTCCTCCAGAACTCTATCAGAAGGCAGACCAACCCAATGCTTCTTTAGCCTTGCAGAGTTTGAGTCACTGGTACTGATGTCCATGAAGAGGGCACAAAAGATAACTTCTCCTCTTAAATCACCATCTAGAGCAGGGGTGTCAAACACATGGCCTGGGGGCCGGAACTGGCCCGCCCAAGGCTCTTATCCGGCCCGCAAGCAACTGCTGCGAGAGAGGGAAGGGAGGAGGCTGCTGGGGGGGGGGGAGCAGGCACACACAGTGAGGTGCATGTGGTCAAAGCTGTCAAGAAATGAAATAGCCTAGGGAGTGGGTACAATATCCCTTGGGGGGAAAACCTAGTCTTGCATAAGATAAAATACATTTATTGGGACTTTTGTTGGATTTCCCAGTAAATCAACTGCTTTCACTCCTAGGAATCAATTGCTTTTGTCTGTATTTTGAATTTTAAAAATAATATCATTAATCAGTTTTGCCTGTGTCGTTTAAAAGTTCTATCTCTGGTACTGGGCCTTTCATTTTACGGCAGACACGGCCTGGCCCGACAAGGTAACTTTTATGTCGGATCCAGCCCTCGTAACAAATGACTTTGACATCTCTGGTCTATAGTACAGCACGCAGTGTATATGGGGGGGGGGAGGCTGACTTTTGGGGGCAGCCTCATGGCTGCCATGAAATCCTGAGCTGTCAACCAGTTAAGGCAGCCTGAATGGAACTTGGTCCCTGAGACAAAGAGCTCCACCCAAGACCACCCCCCTCAGCTCAGGAAAGCTACTTATTTTTTCCGTCCCGTTTATCTGATCCTGTCGCCCATGCACTGTTAACTAGGCAACTGCCCATGCTATTAACTAGGCATGTCCCAGTGGTGACCCTTACTTTTACTGTTATTTATTGCTCCTTATTGTATTTCGGGTTTACCTACATATTTCATACCTGTACCCAAAAAGTTAGGCTTATTTAGCATTTATAATCTTGTTTCCTGCCTGATCTATTAATTGGAACATATATCCTACCTACTATTACAGGCATTCCACTGTTCTTGAGGTTTATTCACTCCTGTTTACAAATTTACAGAACCTTACAGTTCTCTTTGTTTACCTGTTTCTTTCTTCCTATTGCACATACAGTATCTTCGCTTATCGCAGAACATGTTTGTTGCTCTATTTTAACTAAAATGTAAAAAATGTTTTTATACTGTATTTTCTGTATTGTTGCACGCTCTTTCAAATAAAAAATACAAATAATAAAAAAACTAGGCGTGCCCCATAACTCAGTGTTTCCCAATCTGTGGGTCGGGACCCAAAAGTGGGTCAGCCAAGCCTCTGAAGGCAGGTCGCAGGCTGGCCTTCCCTAACAGATGCTCCCTGCCCTTTCCACTGGTCTCTTTGGTATTTTGGAAACCAAGATCTGACCCTGGAAATGGTATCTTCCACGTCACAATCCGTGTTTAAGCTGAGTTAGGGTGAGCTAGCCCACAGTTTTTTAGCCTCCAGCTCACACCTTTTTGTCTCCACTCAGGAAGGAGGGCTCCAGAGCAAACTAATTTATGCAGCAGCCGAATTGCTCGCTCACAGCTTTAATGCCAGCAGCTCACAAAGTAGAATTTTTGCTCACAAGACTCCACAGCTTAGAGGGAACGTTGGTCACAATTAGTTGAGATTTCCCCTTCACTGCATACATAGGCTGACCAAGCGAAACATGTTACTGATGGTTACTAGAGTAAGTTGCTTAGAGTCTTGGAAGAAATTAGAGGGAGTAATGGAGAAGGTGGTCAAGGCTGGAATGTAACTTCCATGTGCAAAGGCTGCGTAGGTTGGAATGCTGCTTACTTGGGATTCACACTGGGGGCAGTTGTGCCTTTTGTGTGATGGTTGTTGGGTTTCTCAAAAAGGTCTTGTGGGCCACTGCAGAAAATGGAATGCTGAACTAGATGGGTTCCAAGGTCATAGTCTGCCTTTGTTGTTGTTCAGTTGCACAGTAGACCCTGACTCTTTGCGACCCCATGGACCCCATCACGCCAGGCCCTCCTGTCTTCCACCGTCCTCCAGAGTTTCCTTGCAGGATCGGACTTTCCTTTCACCATCAGACATGTCCACAGCTGAGCGTCCTTTTGGCTTTGGCCCAGCCGCTTCATTCTTTCTGGGGTTACTTGTACTTGCCCTCTGCTCTTCCCCCGTAGCATACTGGACACCTTCCGACCTGAGGGGCTCATTTCCCGGCGACATATCTTTTAGCCTTTTGTTACTGTCCATGGGGTTTTCTTGGCAAAGATATTGGAGTGGGTTGCCATTTCCTTCTCCAAGGGAGTTGTCTGAGTTCTCCGCTGTGGCCTGTCCGTCCTGGGTGGCCCTCCACAGCATAGCTCACAGCCTCATTGAACCACGCAAGCCCCCTCGCCACGTCAAGGCAGTGATCCCCGAGAGAACATAGCTTGCCTAGGGCACCATAACACCTTGGGCCAGCCTTGGATGGGTCAACATACCAAGTAGGGCCAACACACCAAGTAAATTTCGACTTGTGGAGAATAGCAGCCATAGCTTACCCGAATAAAGGGATGTTGAGGGGGTGTTACCACTAACACCTTCTTCTAAAAAAGAAAAACGAAAACAAATCCCAGCATTCTTTCCAACAGCAGTTGACCCAATCCATAACTTCTGCCCATGAACGCTGGGACTTTTCTCAGCTGTAGCCCTGCTAGCAGGAATCACGTAATGACTATCTTCTGGGCAGCAGTGAGGTGGTGCTAATTAAAAGTTAAGTCACAGCTGTGGCGGCAGCAACCCTCAGATTAGAGTCGTTTAATATTTTATGACTCCGTGGGTAAGGAGTTCAAAGGGATTCGTTCCCGTCCTCCGATTCAAATGGGAGGCGGTGCTTCACGCCAAGCGGCCTCCCGTGGGACTTTTGCTGCTTGGCGCTTTCATTCCCCCGCTTCTTCGTATGAAAGGTCTGCAGCGAGGACTTGCACTGTCCTCGTTCCTTTATCTTGCGCCCTTCCCTTCCCTCTTCATCATTACAGACTTTTCCCACTTTGCATCCAATTAACCTTGCTCTAAGACACTCCGCTGAATTTTTTAGCAGAAGCTAAATCAGCTTTTAATGGCGATGTTTTGCCTCTATATAGTTCTCTTAACTGTTCAAAGAGTTTCACATACATTATGCATATCCCTTGCTTGCTGTCTCAACATACAGAAGGCCTACGGTTGCCTGGTCTTCCTGCCTGGTATAGCAGAAGACATCCTGCTCACCCACCGCTGCCGGCCGCTACACCTTCCTTAACCAGCCCTCGTGTTGAAAGGGTAGAAATTCACTTACTTCAGCCCTGGAAGATCTTTCACACTAGCTGTGATCTCTGCAGCTTCAGGGACAAACTTCTCTACCAACTCCAGAGGTCCCCAAAATGACTTGTTTTGGCCCAGAAAAGTCTTCTTGGCTAAATAAAAACATTGTTATTCTGTCTGTGTGAATGGCGTTAAACATTCAAACAAGGCATTGCGAAAACCCCACACGCTGCTCCCTCGCCCTTTATCCTACATGCCTCTTTCATCTCTAATAATAATAATAATAATAATAATAATAATAATAATAATAATAATAATAATAATAATAATAATAATATACTTTATTGTAATTGTACATAGTACAACGAAATTAAAGACAGGGCTCCAGTAGCCCTGTCTGCCCCAACAGACAGCACCTGCAAACAGAGCTAAGATTTCTACAGAGATGTGGACACCAGTGTTCCCTCTAAGCTGAGTTAGTGTGAGCCAGCTCACAGTTTTTTAGCCTCCGGCTCTCACGTTTTTGTCTTAGCTCGGGAAGGAGGGCTCCAGAGCAAACTGATTTATGCAGCAGCCAAACTGCTCGCTCACAGCTTTGGTGCCAGTAGCTCACAAAGCAGAATTTTTGCTCGCAAGACTCCACAGCTTAGAGGGAGCACTGGTAGGCACCAGGATGTATTTTACCAGAGGCAGCACTTGCATTGCTAGGAATTAAGCCTTAGGCTACCGCTGCAAATCACACGAGATGCATGTATGCCAACGTCAACCGACTGCCACACGAAACAGAAGCGCCTTGTGTTTCCTTCCTTGTTATTCTAATAATTACGAAGATACGACTGCCCAAGCGACAGGTGAATGAGCAATTTCATCTGTTTTATTGCGCGTGCAAGGAAGGAGCTGTTCTCGTTTTATTTTGTTGGCCTTTTCCAGTAATTTATCAGCTTTCAGTCTCTCTCTTTCAGGAAACAGTTCTGTAGTTAATATTCATCGTGCGAGGAATATCTATCGACCGATAAAGTCATGATTATCTCACAAACCTTGTTGAACAGAGACTCACGGCCGAATAGAAACGAACAGGAATTTCTTCCTTTGGCAGACTCCAGGGCAGGGGTCCCCAAGGGGGTGCCCGCCAGTGTTCACTCTAAGCTGAGTTAGTGTGAGCTAGCTCACAGTTTTTTAGCCTCCAGCTCACACATTTTTGTCTTAGCTCAGGAAGGATGATTCCAGAGCAAACTAAGTTATTCAGTAGCCAATTCACCTGCTCACAACTTTCATGCCGGTAGCTCACAAAGTAGAATTTTTGCTCACAGGACTCCACAGCTTAGAGGGAACATTGGCTGCCCGCCAGGTGCTTACAGGAAGTGGGCGGGGCCAGGTAGGACTGACTATGGGAAATTTGATTGGCTGTGCAGATTTTTTTAAAAAAAATTTTTTGGCAGCAGCTGGCACCCCAGCACAAAGGTCTACACCAGGGGTGGCCAAACTGTGGCTCAGGAGCTACATGCGGATCTTTCACACATATTGCGTGGCTCCCGGCAGGGCAGCTGGGGAAGCGAAGGGGAGGCCTGCCTCCCCGATCGGTCTTCCCTTCCCCAGCCAGTGTTCCCCTCCCTGGGTCGGTTTGAGGCAGGGGGGGAACACACAAAGAGAGCAACTTTAACTTTAAATGTGTTCTCAAAGCCCCCCCCCCCCCCCCCCCCACAAAAACACAGCGACCGATATCTATTTTTACTCCTTTTGTTTTTATTTTTGGTGGTCTCGTTTAGTGTTAATAAAAAGCAAATCTGCATATTTCTCAATAAAAACGTGTCTGTGATATTTGTTCATGTCATGCGGCTCGCAAACATCTGACTTTATTCTACCTGGCTCTTGCGTTAAGCAAGCTTGGCCACCCCCTGGTCTACACTGTCGTACCGAAATTAAGCTGTGGTATTTTGTGGCAGCCATTTTGTCGCTGCGCCCACCGTGCCCTGTCAGAATTCCAAATGCGCCCGCAGTCTCAAAAAGCTTGGGCACCCCTGTTCCAGGGTATAAACTAAGTCTCCCCTCTGAAATAAAGAAAGGGAAGGTGGGCCACCGCTTCAAGCGCCATCCCCTAATGAGGACTGCCACCAAATTCTGTCGCTACAGTTGCCACCTTTCAGTTGCCTATGCAAATTCACATGACCGAGAAAGCTGAATTCGGGCCAGGGCCCTTCATTTGCTGATCCCTTGCGCATTTAACTTCTGCAAAAGGCTACTTGCACAGGACAAAAACAGGAGGCACGGTAATTAGAACCCAGTCCCGGTTCAGTATTTTGCAGGCGTCAATCCCAAAGCAAGGCCAGCCATCAAACGTAAACACTCACCTTTTAAACCATGTTTAAGGCAGTGTTCCATTACTACAAAAAACTGCTGAAGGGGTGCATAGTCAGAGTCCAACGTTCTGCCGAGATTAAGTGCGGATTCAATCAAGCCCTTTATACTCAGCTTAGCCATGTTCATCAGGTTCATGCGTTCATTAGCCATGAGATAATTGGGATCTGCAAGGCACATATATACAAAAGGTTGGTTAGAGGAAAAAACCCAAAGCAGCACAATCTCAATCGCCTTTTATATCGGAATAAAACGAGTGGTTTTTTTTAAGTGACCGCTGTCCTATTTAGCACAACAGACACTTTGGAGGCTGTGCAACAGAGAGACGGACAGAGTGTCTGGAGGAATGGAGCAAAAGCTTTAGTATTTGCTTAACAAAAGGGGGGGGGAAGCTTTGATGAAGGGAGCGCGACAGACAGATCCAGAGAACAAAAAGGCACCGCTGCTGCCTGAATATTTAAACTGATAAAAGAAAAGCTAGGAGTGTCTCAAGAAAAATGCTTTGAAGGACTCCCCACAATATTTTAATTAGTACATTCTCCGGGGAATGGTATAATCTGACAGTTGGAGAACACTATAATTAAGCCTATGAAGAAACGGTGTGGATCTTGGGAGCGAGTGATTAAAGAACGTGGTGAGGGTTTTGTAGAAGACACGGCCAACTTGCACCCTTTCCCATCTTGAGTCTCCTCAAGAACGCAGAGCTTTCCGGCTCTCCAGGTTCAACATTCTGCCTTCAGCAATCCTTTACGGCAGATTTTTCAGAACTCCCCATCAGGAGAGATACTGTCATGTGGGGCCGGGGTGCCTGAATTTTTATCTCCTGTCTTGCTATACTGTGGCTTTTACACGGAGTTGAGGAATTTTATAGTTAGCCTCCTCCTGACCTGATAGCCCAGGCTAACCCAATCTCATCAGACCTCGGAAGCTAAGCAGGGTCACCCTGGGCCAATATTTGGATCGGAGACCTCCAAGGAATACCAGGGCCGTGACACATGAGCAGTCCACCTCTGAATGTTTCTTGCCTTGAAAACCCTACGGGGTCACCGTACGTCAGCTGTGAATTGATGGCACTTCCTACCACCACACATAAATATCAGGGTTACCCAGATGAGTGGCTGGTCTTAAACTTTTTATCTGACGGGAAATCCTTATACTACCCATCAAGTTGCTAGGTATCTCCCAGCCGCTGTGAGGATCCGTGGGCTGATCATCAATGATCATGAATAATATTATCATTATATTTAGGTTTATGGTCATTGATTAGCGTGCTTCTTGATGTGCATGTTTGTGTTGACTGGCTATGTAGTATCCTAGATTGTTTAGTGTCCGTAAAGGTAAAGGTTCCCTTGCTCGAAAGCCAGTCGAATCCGACTCTAGGGTTGCGGTACTCATCTCCGTTTCAAAGCCGAAGAGCCAGCGCTGTCCGAAGACGTTTCCGTGGTCATGTGGCCGGCATGACTAAACACCAAGGCACACGGAACGCTGTTACCTTCCCACCGAAGTGGTCCCTATTTATCTACTTGCAATGTCTTGCTTTCGAACTGCTAGGTTGGCAGGAGCTGGAACTAGAGATGGGAGCTCACTCCATCATGCGGCACCCGGGTCTCGAACTGCTGAACTACTGACCTTCCACAGCCTGCAGTTCAGCGTCTTAACCACTTGAGCCACCGCAGTTCCTTAGTGTCCGTACCAAATGCCTAATAAGGGTTCTGATTATGACTGCCGACTTCTGTATTCTTAGCATCCGCTTCACTCCCCAGATTGTGAGGAAGGGGTTAGTTTGCCTTACAAGCCAATCCTGTAAGAGAACTGATACAATCTATAACGACTTCACAGTTAAGCTTTGCTAAGGCATGCCATGGCATTATATATCAAATTCGAGAGACAGACAGACAAAGAGAGAGAGAGACAGACAGATAGACAGAGAGACAGACAGACACAGACAGAGACACCCTACTTGTTATGTCCTGGGCCCGGTATGGACTGACCAAGCTTGATACCTAGAACAATAGATAGCTAGGATCCTGGAAGGAACCAATAGACCAGGAGTCGCACTGTAAATAACCTATCATGAGTAGTGGGATGTGTGGGTGTGGTGTTGTGCACGGATTTAAGCAGGGCTTCGATCCTGCTAGAGTTGTCTTTAAGTTGAGCTAAATCACTGAATAAACAATGAGCTGATCACTTCACGCGTCTCGGACCCAGTATATTTCACTACTAAAGTCTTGCAGCTCAAGAGCATGTTTCTTGTCCTGAGAAGTGAAACTGCGCACAAATGTATTCGGCACTGGTACAATGGGGCGCAGCCGGATTTGGGTATTAGATCCAGCCTGGCTATTATCTGGTGTTTCGTTCTGACAACTGGCCAATGGTATCACCCAACAGTAGCTTTCCTCTTGCATTTCTCATCAGTGGATCCTGCTTCACGGCTTCCATCTCTTCATTCATACTGGAACCCTCCACGTTTGCTTCAACTAAGCATGCTTAGAATTGCTCGGTTCAGTAAACTGAAACCAGAGTCATTTTATTTGGCCTTTTGTGGACTGTAAGGTGAAACATAAAGTTCTGACAGCCACGTTCGATTTCAAGCCTGCAAGACACCAGAGCAGAAGCCCCCAAAGTGATGTTCTTGGGCACTCGGGCACCCACAAACACGTGGCTGGGCGGGGCTTCTGCCTAGCAAGGCTTCTTCTGATTGGCTATGCAGATTTTTTTAAAGTGTTGCTTTGGCAGCAGCTGTCGGCCCGGCACAAGGATCTTTGCTGTGTGTGAGGGAATGTAAGCTGTGGCAGCCATTTTATGCCCGGCCCCAACTCCTCCTACAGCGGCCATTTTGTGGCTGGGCCCGCTATGCTGTGTCAGAACTCGAAAGGTGCCTGCAGGCTCAAAACGTTTGGGGGCTCCTGTTCCAGAGAGTGCCCAAACATTACATTTAACTTCACATATTCAGGGAGATTAGGTTATATACAGGGGTCGTTTCGTAGAAAAAGAGCTAGGGGGACTCATTAGCATAACTCATTAGCATATGCCACACCCCCTGACATCACCAGAAGTGTGTCATAAGGCCACACCCCCTGACATCACCAGAAGTGTGTCATAAGGCCACACACCCCGCTCCCAACGGTCCCAGCCGCCGCCGGCAACCTTGCAGCTCCACTGCCGAGCCCCATGAGGGGCCCGGCGGTGGACCTGCAAGGCCGGCGGGAGTGCAAGGAAGCCTCGCGAAGGCCCTCCCTGGCCCCAGGCAGGCAGGGGTGGGGAGAGGCAGGGAGGAAGCGACTTACCCTCCCTCTTCTCCTGCCTCCTCCTGGCTGAATGAGGGCCGGAAGCGGGGCGGCCGGAAGCAGGGGGTGGGGCTTCGTCATGTGCCCCGCCCCCTCGTACCTCACCCGGGGGAACTGTGATCCCCCGCGATCCCCCCCCGAAATGACCTCTGGTTATATATGGAAATGAGGAAAACGGCCAGTCAAAACTATTAATTCCATTTGAGAAGAAAACAGGCCACACACACACACACACACACAAAAACCCCACAAAGGAAGAAATTAATTTGAAGATCATGAGGAAAACAACAATTCAACATTGTATTTTACAAACAATTGACGAGAAATAAGGGTAGGCTTTGAGATTAATATTCACTACTGGCTTGCCTTGGTTATCATGTGATATTCTGGAATGGTTTGTATCGGTTGAGAACGTCTGGAAATGCTTCTACACAGCCACACGTGATATGATAAAGAGCACATGTAGCTATTGGGGGAGGACTGAAATCTGCAGCCATTTCTATGATCTCATTATGGACTTTTCTCTTTCGAGGCGATATTGCTACCCTAATGACATTCAACTGTCTTTCTCCCCGATGGGGACAATAAAGCACCTTACATCATTTTCTTCTTCTCTAGTTTATCCTCACAACAACCCTGCGAGGTAGATTAGGCTGACAGCACGTGAGTGGCCCAAGGTCACCCAGCAAGCTTCCACGGCAGAGTGAGGGTTTGAACCTGGGTCTCCCAGACCCTAGCCCAACACTCTAACACTCTAACTACCCCACACTGAACCATCATAGACTAAAAGATCATTTTTAGGTATAATTTTATTCTCCTCACTAGCGGGGTTTTCCCCCATCATTTCTACTGCAATTTCTCAGGATAGTGAAAATGTAGGCCTCAGAATTTAAGGTATCTATCAATCATGACAGTTGCCTCATCCAGTCTAAAATCCAGAGGAAAAGGTTTCCCTTGCACCCGTTCTCACCAAAACCATCTTCAAAACAGAGTACAAAGGAGGAATTGTACTCCTAGCCAAGTCCCAAGGTCACATCCAAATCTAAATGTCCACATATGAGATTGTCAAGAAAGCAGGTCGGCAAACAGTAGCAAGTTTCCTAGCTTACAAACAGGCCTAACCAAATTTTCCTGACACCATTCCGTTACAAGCACAATGCGCTGCAGTTACTGTAAGGACTGAGGCAAGGATCTGTTGTCCTCAGAGGCAACAAAAAGTAGCATAATATCCAGTGTCAAAGAAATTAGGTCAAGCAGAAGACAGGGGGGGGGGGGGAATGCAAATGTCATCTTCAAGAAGCTATTTTAATTTTAAACTAATCACAAGCAGTGTACACTTTTTGAGCAGGTGACCCTGGCTCCGTTCCCCAAAAACACATTCTCTGCAGGTTAAGATGCTAAGGCCGTGATGGTCTTCGAACGAAGACAACAGAGCAAAATGATCTCAAGAACCAAACGCAAAATAGTCTCTGTTAAAACAAAACCTGTAACTAAATCCATCTCTCAGCTTGACCAGCTTCCTAAAGGTATAATCCCAACCTTGCCACGGTAATCCACGCAATGGTCACCTCCAGGATGGATTATTGTAACTCGCTTTATGTAGGGCTACCCCTGAAACTGACCCGGAAGCTCCAACTGGTACAAAGTGTGGCTGCGTGGGTCCTTACGAGGACCCCACGGAGGGTGCATATCCAGTGCTGCACGAGCTGCATTGGTTGCCAGAGGAGCACCAGATCAGATTCAAGGTTTTGGTGCTTACCTTTAAAGCCCTTAACGGTCAGGGATCTATGTCCCTTCGGGACCGCCTCTCCCGATATGTCCCCCGAAGGGCATTAAAATCCGCAGATAAGAATCTTCTGGTGGTTCCCGGCCCCAAAGAT